GATTGTTTCAGAAAAAAACAGATGTGCTTACGCATGCATCTGTGGTATTTTTACAAAAACATTGTCTGACACACCACAGTCCACACCTTGCACGCTGTTCATGCACTACATCCTACAGACGCTCCACGCCAGTGCACACAAGGCTGCCCCACCTCCCTGGACAGCTCTCGATAGATGAACCTTCCGTCATCTCACCAGCCCCCTACCATGAGCACTTAGGTCTCTGCCAATATTTTGTCATGGGGAACGTCCTTGACCATGGGTTATTCTGTACATGTGCTAGGAAATCTGCAGGACACCTGTCTAGGAGTGAAGCAGCAGGGTCCAAGGGTGTGAGGACAGGACTGCCTTTGCAAGCTCGGCGGGAAGGGGTGGGAAGGCTCATTGTTTCTATCTGCAGCACACTGGCTTTCCCGTGACAGGGCTGGGAAAGGTGCGTCAGAAGACTCTGGAATGAATGCACACACTCCATGTAAGGCCTGCTTAATGTGTGCCTGACCACCACAGGGACCTGTGCCTGGCCTGACGAATCACCATGAACCCCTTCTGAGTCTTGCCCACGTGGCTGAACCAAGGCTGAGCACGGGCCGTGGTCTTCCCCACCTCCTCTTTTCTGGCTCATTCATGGTGCCGACATCTGCTTGTTCACCCTGGCCCTCAATCTTGCCTGCACTCAGTGAAGTTACGGTTAATGATGGTCAGCACTGACAGCCAACAAGTTGCAAGGAAAGGTTAGAAGGACAAGAAGAGCAGACGAGAGAGCTTCAGACCACATCACCCGGGGACTGTGTCCAGGGCACTCAACACTTTGCATGCTGGCCCTCAGCATCGCGCCAGCCGTCTCAGGGCAGAAGCCTGGATGGGGACGGGGAAGCTGGAGCAGGAAGCAGGGGATGGGGGAGTGGAACAGGTGCAATGTACAGCAGCTGCTCTCCATCCTCCTTCACCTTCACTCTGCTGGAAATGTGGTGCTAACGTCCACACCAGCTGTGGTCACGAGGTCCTCTTGGCTGGATCTTTGCAAAGCTAATCGAGAATGCCCCAGGGCACATCTTCCAGGCCGGGCCCGTCCTGTTTGAAAATCAGCATTCCCCAGCCCTGTGATGCAGCAGTTGGCTCTGTCCAGTAACAGCACCGGTCAGAGTAGCCAATCCCACAACACTCTCAAATATTGCCATTAATTAGCGAGCGTGTTTCAATGTGGCCATTCATTAGCAGAAAGCACAGCATATGTCTTCTAGAATTTTTAACTGGTCTCTAATCCTGTGACCTTATCATTTACAACCTGTACAGGCACTAGACTCTGAAAGCAATTGCGTGATGCCAGGAAACACGTGAGAGCTGAGCCATATGGCGGTGCTAGCCCAATGTGTCCTGTGAGCCTGCGGGTACCCTGATGCTCCCTGGCATGGCAGGGAGGGTGAAAGGCTTGCCCTGAACACCTGGGCCCTGCTGTGGCCACCTAGGTGGCAAGCAGGTTGGGGAGGGGTCCAGCTGAGGTGGACCATTCCCCCGCACAGCTCACAGACTTCTGTCTCTGGGAGTTTAGCAACTCACCCGTGATCGCTCAGTCAGACCTGCGCAGTCAGCCCCCGTCGTGCCGCACCCTTCCCCCGAGCCCACCAGGACGGCCTGGGTGTTGCCTTTCTCACACATGCTTCTGTTAAGCCATTTCCTCCTGCAATAGGTGGGCAGCATGGGTGACAGCCTCATTCCCCTGGGACCTGGTGTCTGGGCTGCAGCAGGCAACTTGCTGCAATGTGGGGCGAATGGGGGGCTTAAGCCATGCAGCTTCCAGCTCAGGTGGGGTAGCAGTGACACGCAGAGGACCAGTGCATGCTGTGTGACATCACAATTCATTGTGAGACATCACTGTGTGCTGTGTGACATCACTGTGTGCTGTGTGACATCACTGTGTCTGTTGCAGTTTAAAACTCAACTTGTGCTCGTGGCTTCAACCAAAGGTCCCTGAGTGCACGTTTGTGTGGGCGCCTGAGAGCCCAGGCAGAGGGGGCATGGGATTCCCAGGACCCAAGGAGTCTCAGCTCACTGCCCACTCATCTCTGCTCTCTACCCAGCTTTCTCCACCCAAGGTGCACTTACCAAGACTGTATGGCATGCCTGTGGTTGCTCACGACACAGTCAGCCGTGCACACGCCCACTCCCTGGTACAGTCAGCCGTGCACACACTCACTCCCTGGTACAGTCAGCCGTGCGCACGCCCACTCCCTGGTACAGTCAGCCGTGCGCACGCCCACTCCCTGGTACAGTCAGCCGTGCACACGCTCACTCCCTGGCACAGTCAACTGTGCGCACGCTTATTCCCTGGCACAGTCAGCCATACTTGTGGTCGCTCATGGCACAGCCAGCCATGTGACTGGTCACTAACACACTGGCACAGTCAGCCATGCCCGTGGTCATTCCCTGGCACAGTCAGCTATGTGTGCATGTGGTTGCACACTTGGCAGTCAGTCATGTCTTCTTTCTGGCGGTCTCAGACTCCAGTGAGGTCACAGGGCTGCACACCCAGCAATGCAGTGTGGAAGCTCCTGCCAACGAGCTGAGCCCCACGCTGCAGGGCACAGGCACTTGGGAAGCCTGGAGCCAACCCTGGGTTACTCAAAGGCCCACCAAAGGGCAAAGGTGCAGACACTTCCTTAGAAAGTCAGTGCTGGGGGTCCTAGCACAATAGCCTAGTGGCTAAAGTCCTCACCTTGGATGTGCTGGGATCCCACATGGGTGCCAGTTCATGTCCTGGCTGCTCCACTTCCCATCCAGCTCTCTGCTTGTGGTCTTGGAAAGCAGCTGAGGATGGCCCAAAGCCTTGGGACCTTGCACTGTGTGGGAGACCCAAAAGAAGCTCCTGGCTCCTGGCTTCAGATTAGCTCAGCTCAGGCCATTGTGGTCACTTGGGAAGAGAATCAGTGGACAGGAGATCTTTCTGTCTATCTCTTTCCAGTAAAAATAAATAGATCTTAGGAAATAAAAAGTCAATGCCCAGTGGGTAAGGCAGTGGCCCGTGATGCCAGCATCCCATATGCGAGGCCGTTCGTGTCCTGACTGCTGTGCTTCTGATGCAGCTGCCTGGAAAACTCAGCTGAGGCTGACATGTGCTTGGGCCTCTGCCATCCACTTGGAAGAAGCTCCTGGCCAGCTGCGTGTCCTGGTCCAGTGCTGGCCATTGTGGCCATCTGGGAAGTGAGCCAGGGGAGAGAGTATTGGGGTCTACCACCCTCCCCTTTCTGTAACTGACTTTCAAAGTAAATAAAGAAATCCTTAAAAAATATAGGAAATTCAGTTTGGGGCCCCAAATTCAAATATTGCTAATAGCACCGCGGATGTCAGCACTGCTAATGGAGCCAGCTGTGGTGGCCTGGGGCAGTGTCATTCAGTCTCTTTCCTGTTGAAACCTGTGGGAAGAGACAGTCTAGAATAGCCCTGGCTGCTGAACCCTCAGGAGCAGGAGCAAAGTGGGGCGGCAGTGGGACGAGGTTGGGGGACCTCAGGCAGATGGGAACATTGCAGGTGTTTTAGAGTACAGGAACCCCAAGGCTTTGTTCCTAATGAAGGCACCAGTGACTTTCAACTGGTTGAAGACTCAGGCGAGCTTCCCTTGGCTGGGTGAGGGAAGTGGGCACTGCAGGTGCACAAAGTCCCTTGGGCCGAGGAGACCTAAGTGAGCACATGTGGGCATTCCTGCTAAACACCGAGTTTTCTTCTTCTTCTTCTTTTTAAGAAGAATCAGAAAATAAGAAGCGTCCTGGGTTACCTCCAACACTCCCAGAGTCTCTGAGGTGTCTGATTTACTGGTTTGCTTGCTTTGTCAAGCCTTGGCCAAGGAAAGAGCATGCAGATAGGGGCTGGTTGGCAGATCAACGTGCTGCAGGCAGGGGACTGAGCCTGCTGTCAGCCACATCAGCCTCCACAGTGGCAGGAACATAATGATACAGTCGGTCAAGTCACAACTCGGGCTGTATCCGTCCTGGGCAACTAGCCGCCCCTTGCTCTAGGTGAGCACAAAGTTTGCATCAAGGATGTTTACCACGGAGCATGAGGTTTGGTCTCGCAAGGTTTTATTTGATCTATTTTTATGCATGAGAGCCCTTTTGCCTGGTTCACTCCCCAGATGTCTTGAATGCCTGGGCCACAAGCCAAGAGCTGGGAACTCAACCTAGGGCTCTCCGTGGGTGGCAAGGACGCATTTCCTTGAGCCATCAGCTTGCCTCCCAGGGCAGGGAAGCTGGGGTGTGGGAAGTGAATCCGCTGCTCCAGTGTGCGTTGTGGGTGTGTGAACTGCTGCACCACCATGATCCCAGCAACAGGACATGATGGATAAACAAATAAGGCCCACCCTGCCTGAGGGCAGTCATGTCTGAACACCAAAGACCAGTGCTGGAAGCTGGCCACGCTCTGGTCAGGCACGCTGTGCAGTTCACTCTTGAGCTGAAGTCCATGCTGACGACACAGCTGTGAGAAAGCTCAGAGCTCCCCACACCTTGTCCAGCTGACGCCACTCCACGAGCTCTTGGACACATTCATTTGGGCTTGGGAGGATGCCCTGGGACCTCAAGAGACTGCCTTGTGACTGCTCATGAATATTCCAGCTCCAAGAGGGGGGAAGAGAGAGCAGACTGATCCCCAGCCTCCTGGGAGCTGAGCCAGTTGTGCTCCTGCTTGTTCTGGGGGTGCCTGACCTCAGTGGGAGCACTCCCCACGTCTCCCCTGGCTCCCTCTTCCTCTTCCGACAGGCATCTTTGCCCTGGCTGCAGACTGTGGCCAGGAGCCAGGCACTCCAAGGGCTGCTCCCACCTTCCCACAGAGGCTCTGACAGCCACCAGCCTCCCCAACCCTGTTCTAGGCCCAGCTGGAAGACCTCTGGATACCTGTTAGCGGGAGATAAGGCATGCCCTGGCGGTTACCAGCAGGAGGCGACTTGACAAGCCTTATCTTCCCATAACACTCACACCTTGCAGCCTTGAGCTAAATCATAGAAGAAAAACTGGAGTTAGGAGACTTGTCCCTTGCCTAAGTATTTTCTTCCTCTCCTAATTTTATCGCCTTGCTAAGGAAGTCAAAAGCAGACTAATTAAGTCCGAGCTAAAGGGCAAGTACTTGGACTGCCTGGCCGACTGCCCGGAGCCGCCAAGATAACGGGACTTGCAGGTGAGTGAGCTGGGCATAGCACATCATTGCTTCAGGGTCCCTGGCACCAGAGATGTTCATGAAGCCGAACAGCCATGAGCAGAAAACTGACCACTTGGCAATGCCCTTCTGGCAGCATGGTAGCCTTTGGATGGCCTATAGGGATTGTCTTTAGAATGGACTGGCTCCCAATTCCTTTGGCACTCTCTCTCCGCTGGGGACCAACTTCTATCCTGGACTTTCTACCTCATGATTCAGATCACTGCAGGCACAAACGGACCATCAAAAATTAAGACTTCAGAATAGGAGCCATTGCTGTGGTATAGTGGGTTAAGCGGTGGTCTGCAATGCCAGCAGCCCATATGGGTACTGGTTTGAATCCTGGCTGCTCCACTTTTGATCCAGCACCCTGCTAACATGGCTGGAAAAGCAGTAAAGGATGTTGTACTCACTTGAGAGCCCTGTAAGAAGCTCCTGGCTCTTGGCCTTGGCTGAGATGGCTCAGATCTGGCTATCTATGGAATGAATCAGCAAATGGAAGAGCTAAATAAACTGGAAATAGTTGCAAGGATCTAACATTGTAGTCTTGGAAGTCCTAACACCCCGCCTCTGGTCCTCACCTCTCCCTGGACTTGAGTTCTCTTGGGGCTCACCCAAGTATGCTCAGCGGGGCTCCCAGCACTTGGTCTTGAGGAGATCATCAAGTCTCCCTCCTCAAGGCAGGGGCAAAGGAGGCCAACACTTGCACAGACAAGTGAGTGCTCTTCAAACATCATGGAAAAATACTGTGACTAGTCCATGTAGTACCCATCTCACGACCTTGCACCAAAACCCTATTTCTTCGAATTTCACTTCTCATGAGCAGAAGGGATGTGACCAGAGTCCACTGGGGCCACTGTCGTGGCACACCAGGTGAGGTCACTTGCTATGATGCTGGTAGCCCGTGGGGGAACCAGGTTTGAGTTCTGGCTGCTTGCTATCCAGTTGCCTGCCAAGGTGCTTGGGAAGACAGCAGAAGATGCCTTATGAGCCAAGGTTCCGGCCACTCATGTGGGAGACAATGATGGAGTTCCAGGCTCCTGGCTTTGGCCTGCAATGGCCCCTGCTGTTGCAGCCATTTGGAGAGTGAACCTATTTTCACTGAAGTTGGGAAGACTGATCAAGTTGCAGCCTGGCCATCCATTATCTCCTCTAGTTGCACAGCTTTCTAACCTGAACACGACTTGGGTCCCCAAAGATGTCAGAGGCCTTTGCTTCATGATGGCTGGATAAAACTTAGCGGGTGAAACAATGACAAGATTTGCCATTGGGGTTGGGACTTGAGCTACATACTCACACACCTGTTTCTCCAGACTGTTGCTCACCTATGGCACCTCTCCATGGAGGTGGGTCTCCCCATCCTATTTCTGGCCTGCTTCTAGGTGGCATGAGCAGAGCCCATGGCTCTGAGCCCTCCCAGCCGGGCGTGCTCCTGCGGTGAGCCTCACATCCGCTAGGAGATTGAGAAGGTGGTTGTAGAGGACGGAGAGGATGAAAGGAGGGCCTACACCTGTCACCACTGCAGCCCTACAACGCGGCTGTTCCCAGGGAGGACTGTCCTTCAAAGAGGGGACTTTTCTCTGCTGGACGGTGAAAAATGTGATTTTCTTTTTTTTTTTTTTTTATTATTTTTTCATTGGAAAGGCGGATATACAGAGAGGAGAGACAGAGAGGAAGATCTTCCGTCCGATGATTCACTCCCCAAGTGAGTGCAACGGGCCGATACTATGCCGATCCGAAGCCAGGAGCCTCTTCTGGGTCTCCCACGTGGGTGCAGGCTCCCAAAGCTTTGGGCCGTCCTCGACTGCTTTCCCAGGCCACAGGCAGGGAGCTGGAAGGGAAGCGGGGCTGCCGGGATTAGAACCGGCGCCCATATGGGATCCCGGGCGTGCAAGGCGAGGACTTAACCACTTGCGCCACCGCGCCAGGCCCGAAAAATGTGATTTTCTACGGGGGACCACCAACAGTGCGTGTGAAGAATCTAAGATTTCACAGAGGTGGGGTGGGAGAACCCACTTAGAGCCCTGGGTATAAGCCTTGAGCAGCAGGGCGTCAGCAGGCGGCAGTGACCCCTCCAGTGTCCTCCCTTGGTTGCATTCTCCCTCCCTCTCTATGTTTCAACCTGAAGTAGTGACCCCGAGTTGTGCTTTATGATGTTAATAACAAGGAGGCTTTATATGTCAAGACAAAGTGGCTCTTAGTCTTTTTTTTTTTTTTTAAATGACTGATTTATCTGTTTGAAAGTCAAAGTTACAGAGAAAGGGAGAGAAATTGAAAGAGAGCTTTCATCTAGTATTCACTTTCCTGATGGCCACAATGGCCAGGCTGCAAGGCAGCGTCAGGAGCCTCACGCAGCTCTGCTTGGCTGGCTGCAAGGCAGCGTCAGGAGCCTCACGCAGCTCTGCTTGGCTGGCTGTCCAAGCACGTGGGCCATCTTCTGCTGCTTTCCTAGGGGCATCTGTAGGGATCTGGATCCGAGGCAGGACAGCTGGGGCTCCAGGTGGTGTCCAGGTAGGCCATAGGTGCTGCTTCACCTTCTGTGCCACAACACTGACCTCCCACTCAGGATTCACACACACAACTGTGTCTGTGGGATTTTCGATAAGCAGTTTCTGAACTTTCCTTCACCCTGGGCTTTCCGTTCTTTTCAGGCAAAATGTCCTCATATTCAGGGACTTGCCAGCAAGTTCAACTGTAGTGAACTTGTCTGTCTCAACCTGTGTTCCAGGCAGAGTCATGCTCTCTCTGCAAGGCTACCACCAATCGCAGCCTGCTGGTCTGTAATCAGGGGTCAGCACAGGCATGCTGTCAGCAGAGAACTGAAGGGTGCACTGGCCTTGGGAGTATCACTTAGATCGGAGCCTCTCAGCTGGTTGAAATACAGCTGAAATGATGTAGTTACTCATTTGAAAGGTAGAGTAACAGGCAGAGAGATGACAGGAGGGAGGCAGAGAGAGAGAGAGAGAAATCTTCCCTCTGCTGGCTCACTCCCCAGATAAGTACAATGGCAGAGCCCCAGCAGAAGCCAGGAGCCCAGCGCTGGCTTCTGTATGCTGTATGCTGTATGCTGAGGGTTCTGTATGCTGGTGGCAAAGGACTAAGTAGTTGGGCCATCTTCCACCGCTTTTCCAGACACATTAGTGAGGAGGTGGGAAGAAAGTGGAGCAGCTGGTGCGAGTGGTGGGTCAATCCACAAGGCATGCCACAATGCCAGCCTATTTGAGATGTTGTTTGCTCTAGTAAACCAAGGGCTTGGGTTTGTTTGGTGCTTTTTTATAAAACAGAAACTTAGAAAAGCTTAATTAAGATTTACTTTAAAATCACCAAATTATATTTTCATAAAAGCCTCTAAAGTGAAACTGCTGTATTTGTTGAATTTTAAAAAAAATATTAGTTTTATAAACATGGTTTCATAGTTTTTTTTTTACACTATAAGGAGATTTATAAACTGCATAGAAAGCAAGAAAGTCATACTCAAATGCTCATAATTTCTAAGAAATCTGCTAATAGTCATTCATTATTAATGAATCTTAAATGTAGAAATGTGCTGACTCAATAAACACGAAATTCCGCTTCTCATTTGCCCAAAGTGGAGCTGGAGTGGGTTGGGAAGGGAGGTTAGGTCCCCCCTGCGGGGATGGCCAGTCTGAATGCTGGCATGGGGGCTTTCTGGGGAGCAGGCTGCCACCAGGTCTGAACATGCATCCATGACCAAAAGCAGCTTTGACTGAATACTAACTTGGCAAAACTTTCCCAATGTAAATATTTTTTCAAGACTAGAAGAAAAATCGTGCAGGCAGAGCTTTAGAAACATGTCCATGTTCGCATCCTCAAAACTCTTCTTTGATAATCCTTCCCCACCCCCAACCCATCCCATAGAGAAACACACTGAACGTAAGGCTCAGGGAAGCTATCGCCAGTCTGTAAGATAACCATTTAAATCAATCCCGGCACCCTCTCATGAGTGGTCTCCATTAGAGATGCTAGGGGGCGGGCATTTGTTCCTGGGCTTAAGACCTGTGTTAAGATACTGATGGTCCCTGTCAGAGCTCCTAGGCTCAGCACCTGATAGCTGGCCATTCACTTCAGCTTAGTTCACAAGACTGGGTTCCTGCTATGCACTGTGGGAGTTCGTACTGAGTTCCCAACCCCAGGCTTCAGCCTGGACCTGGCCACTGTGTGGGCATCTGGGGAGCGAACTAGCAGATGTAGGAGTGCTCTTTCTGTGTCACACACGCCTAACTAAATGGAGACTTTTACAATGCTATTAGGGAGAATCGAGATGGTAGAATAGGGTAAGGTCACATAAAAACAGACGGAAAAACATTAGTCAGTGTGAAACAGAGAGGACACATTCTAGGAAATAGGAGAGGACAGAACAATAGCAGCGGGGTACCTGGAGACTGACAGACACAGGAAAGCAGTGGACACAATGGTGTGGTGTTGCAGTGACTGATAACCCAAAGCATTCAACGAGTGGTGATCTGAATTGCACTGGCAGCCGAAACTCCACCAACAACCAGGTGGGAAGGGATTTTCACCAGGAGCTCAGGAGGTGACCACAGACAAAGAACTGCTCGTTTTACTAATTTCTTTGATTTGACCAGGGGCAGAGACAGAGCAGCAGATCCCAGATGGGCAGTGCAGGAACAGGGTGGATTTCATAACCCAGTCTACCTCCTAGAGCCATATAGGGTGCCATTTAGTTTAAGAAGGCAAAGGCTATGCGACAGTACTGCGGATGCACTGAGCTGGGAGTGAACTGATTTTGGGCTCAGCAAAACGCAACAACATGGCATCCTACAGGTTCCACCCAAGACAGGTCTGGGTAGCCCTCAGACCTGATGGCCAGCAGATCAAGAACTTTAGTAGTTGCACATCAGGCACCATTTTGAACCATTTAAGACTGCAGAGACAGCAGTGAGCTGCGCATGTGCTGAGCTGGGAGAGAACTCACTGAGCTCAGTGCATTGCACTGGTCT